GTAAAACGAGAAAGTCAAAAGGAGCTAAATGAAGCGACACGCCAATAAAAAGGCGAATATATTTGACATTCTATTGGTCGAGAAATATAAATCTATTTATATATTCGTCACAAAAGAAAAAGTAAATCGATGTTGACAAAAAACAAATTGGACTAAGAAAAAACAAATAAGTAAATCTGTCGAGAGATAGACGTGAAAGGGGATTTTTGCATTTTGCCCTGAGCGCAGAGAGAATGCATTTGGGGAGAAATCGGAGCTAAAAATCGTAAGAATTGCGTTACATTCTCTTCGTCCTTTGTCTGATTTTTTGCTATTGCTGGAGAAATGTGGTTCGATCGTTGTCCGATTTTCGATCTGCTTGGTCCATGTTGTTCAGTTTCCTGACGATTAGTAATTAGGTTTTTTCTGTTTCGTTTTCAGATGTGTTTCTTTAAAAGATGGATGGTTCATGTTGTTTTGTTGATTCTGATGAATTCAATAGCTCTGTTTGGTCATTCGTTGTGGCTATCTTAAATGCAACATTTATTTTGGTTTCGCCTAATTTTCTTCTGCAAAAGAGAATTTAGCATTAAAAGAATCCAAGTTAGATTAGATAGCTTTCTTTGTTGTTGGTCTTTTTTCCATTTCTGCAACTGAAGACAGGCTTCGCAGTTATGAATGTGTACATTTTTTCTTCTTCTTGTAGTGGTAATGGGGAGAGAACCTGTGGACAAACACATGGATAAGAAGTCAAACAGTTTCACAGAAAGCTCGGATGATAAGAAAGTCCAAGGTCCTTCCACTATTGAGGCTGCAGAGGTGAAGGAATGCACTGAGGTTGCCAGTGATGCTCATAGGAGGCAACAAGGGATAAATGATACACCTCGATCCCTTACTTCTTCTGACAGTAAGAAGAAACTAAACTCATCCTCTCGTGGTAGCAGGAACCACACTGTTCCAAAGCCATTTTCTCTTTCGGCCGAAAAGCCCCCTTCCTCAGTCTCCGGAAATGCTGCTAGCCACAACTCGTCTTCCGCGTCCAGAGCTTCACAGGTAGACAAAGAGACTTTTTTTTTTTTTGTGCATTGTTCCAAGTACCTTAACGTAAAGTTTTGTGTCCTTATGGGATTTTCAGGTGATTGTTTGATACAATCTTTTTCTTTGTTCTTTGGTTTCAGCTAAATTCCCCTCTACCAGCTAGGAAGACAACCGATCACGAGAAGCACCATTATGACGAAGATAGTTTTTCTGTTGCTTCCTCGTATCCTTTATGTGAAGTTAAACCAGAAAAAAAAAAAGAAAGATGCATTTGTGTTTAATATCTAACCACTACAGGAATTTTTCTGATCCTTAACCATATGGTAGATCTGCGACATCGATAAGAACTATTAAACCCAAGATAACAGTTGGAGTTGCTCCAACGTTTAGGAGCACAGCGCGGTTGGAGAGGCGGAAAGAGGTATTTTCTGAGTAACAATAAGGAAAAGTTTTAAGGAAGCAATACAGTGTGCGGTTTCTCTCCTTAGAGATTGCGTACATACTGTTCCTTTTTCGTGTTTCCGTCTCTCTGCTATTTATCAACATATTTTGGTTTCAGTTTTACCAGAAATTAGAG